GCGAATCGTAGCACTGCCACGTGCAGAATCAATCTCGACGGCATTCTGCACACAATGCGCGCATATACTTGAAATGCTTGAAAAAATATCGGAGGTATTTTACGGGCCCTTCAACCACGCGAAAATTGATTTTTGAGTCGCTCGCGCCATTCCTTATAGTAACGTTCGGCGTTTTTTTTTCCCCATGAATTGAGCAGAAACGAAGAAGCAGAATTTTATTGCGTCTCGTGATGCACAGAAGGCTCTTTATGTAGTGCAGCTAAATCGATTACTAGCAATTAATTGTAGGCGGTTGGTCTGATGTCATCGAGATCATTTTGAGAATGTCCTACTGCGGTGCGTGTATTCTTGTGCATTTACCTTAATTTATCGATAAGTAGGGCACTGCTGTTGATAATATTGTCATTTTAAATGTTGTCATACATTGAGCTTTTACTCTGGCGTAAATTGCTATTTGACTTGTGTCCTTTTAAAGAACCCCAGGTGGTGGAAATTTTCGGAGCCCTCCACTATGACGTCTCTCGTAATAGTATGGTGGTTTTGGGACGTTAAAGGCGCACTGACACAAAAACCTTGGCCTTGTGTTTTTCTGCTGCAATGCGTTGCTGGGGGCCTGTTAGTCATGACACGACACATCATTTGCTGTAGCACGTGGCAGATAATTAATTACAGGCCCCTATTATCAATCAGTTCCAGTTTCGGTTTGAGAGAGTTCCAAAAACTGGGTGCAACTGTCGTCACCTAGCATGTGCAGCTCTTGACCACGTCAGCACACAAAACTGTGACGCACTTCCGCACGGTCCGCATAAAGAATTGCTTTCGAATAGAAAACGGGACTGGAATGTCGCCAAACACAACTTTCCAAGCGAGCGCCACGGCCACGCACTCGCAACCAGCCGCTGAGAAATATAGACTGCAGGAACTAACGCGGCAAAAGAAAAATCATGGCTGTGACGTCATCATAACTTGTTTTGTTGACCGTAGCGTGGTGACGTGAGGGAAGTAGGGGGTCACCTCAGGGTTTCTCTCCAATGGTGTCTATAGCGCTATAGAGTCAGTCGCTCACGCAAACTTCCAAATGATTTTAAAATGGCTTCCAAGATATATTCACTGTTGATATCTTGCAGATGATGTACGAATATTCACGAGAATCGACCCCGCAGGCCATCTCGGCCCCGAAATTTTGTGTCAGTACCCCTTTGTACCCCAGGAATCATTATTTTTTGAAATGTGTCGATTGCTTGAAGGGTGGGCCAAGATTTGATAAGCACATCCTTTGGGCATGTCCTCGTGATGGCAGCTGACTGTAGTTCACGTGCTCAGTGCTCGGGGTTTTCTTTTACTAAACATTCCAAGTCTCCCATGCTATGGCTTTGAAAGGGACAATAGGCATGAACGTAACTGTTAGGTGTGCCGCTGGGCTTGTGCACCTACTAATTTGTCCTTGGTATGGTGCCTTGCACCAAAGGAAGCCAGAAAATGCCGGCCTGCACAGCACTCACTGCCCAATCAACGGAGTGCTTCGCTTGTAACGCGACCACGATTGTAATGTGAGGAGCTGCTTTTCACTTTTTGTTGTGCAATAGAAAAAATATAACAATAAGAAAAATGTAATAGAAGGCCAGTGGAGGCATGAAAAAGTGTACCTATTTTTCATCGACATTTTTCAACATGTGGTAGAATGAGATGCCTGTCTGCTGGGTTACATTGCTCGCTTCCAACTATATCAGACTAACACTAACTACTGTAAAGTGATTGCATTGCACTGTAATTGTATATTGGAAATTACCTCACAAACATCAACTCTGCAAGTATAATCTAAATTGATCATGAATATAAACATTTTAAAAATTGGCTCACATGTTCGCATTCTGACCAGCATCTCCTCTTACATGAAACTTTTGCATGAATTCCATAAGGCAATGGTTTTGAAACCATGGCAAATGATTCAAACTTTTAAGGGGAGATGCGGGTCGAAAAATCGCGTTTTTTGCGAAAATTTCCACTTTTAAGATATTGCTTCTAAAATCACTTTTGATCATTCAACTATCATTTCCCCAAAGGTCATAGCTGAATTCAAACGAGAAAGTGGTAAAAAGTCGATCTGCGCTAGTGAAGGTAGCTGCCGAAGTCGCGAATTCACGCATCCGACGGCTATTTTTGAAAATCCGCCACTCGGCAACACGATGACGTCCGCCATCGGGGTTTGTTCGGTGGTGTAGATCAAGGCTCCTTCTAGTGTACAGGCGTCCCCCTAGTTTCGTATTTTAGTGAGGAATTTCACAAAACAGTCGTTTCCAAGTCGGTTTGCAGCCAAGCTGCAGCCGCTTCGCGCATCTCTACCGGTCACATGGTACGCTACCGAGGCCGCCATTGGCTACATCTGATCGGCCTCGCTCGCTGAGCGCTTGCGACGATCGGCACTTGCCGTGCGTTTCTACGTTTTTCCGAGTTCACCATGGATAACTCGAAGAAGCGAGACTTCCGAGCACGAAAGTTTGCAAGCAAGAACAAGTACCAAGGGCGTCGACGTAAACCGAAGCGCAAAGCAGCGGTAGAAGAATGCGAGCCGCGGGCCACTAGGCCTAATCAAGGCAGCGGGGATACGGCGGCTTGCGGGAACTTTGACGAAATCGACGCCGCGATCAAGTTCATCAGCGCATCAGAAAAAAAGATTGAACAGTTCGAAAGCGAAAGAACGAAGAGTGTTTGTGGCTCTGTGAGCGGAGTATTTTGTGACATCGGCGCACTGACATCGATGGTAAGCCGTGCTGTTTGTCCAACATGCCACACCGCTGGACTCGTCGTTCGCGACACCGCAAGTAAACGTAAGGGCCTCTCTTCGTTCCTCGAGCTGCACTGTGATAACAGTGAGTGTCCTGAGTCAGTGGTTTCTGCCGCGCATAGTTCGCGGCGTGTTCTGCCGGAAAGACAGCCCACCGATGCCGGTGATGACTGGAGCTACCGAAGCGGCAGCTCGCGTGACAGCTTCGCTGTCAATGTGAAGGTAGTTGTGGCTGCGCGTGCAATAGGCATTGGGCATGAACAGCTGTCGCGTTTTTGCGCTATTCTTGGACTGCCAATACCTATGCATCATAAGACTTTTATTGCAATTGGCAAAAAAGTTCATGCTGCAGCTACCAAAGCTGTGCAAGAAAACCTGGCGAAAGCGCGGATGATAACTAAAGAGAAAGTGGATGGGGCTGATGTTGCTGTCATGTATGATGGCACATGGCAAAAAAGAGGGCACAAGAGCCACAATGGCATCGGCACTGCTGTGTCTGTGGACACTGGTTTGTGCCTAGATTTTGAAGTGCTATCGAATTACTGCCTTGCCTGTAGCCGGCACCAGGACTCGGGTGATGAGGAAGAAATATGGCAAGCATTCCACACACCTGTCTGCGAAAAAAATACAGAGTGCTCCTCTCATGCCATGGAGACTGAGGCAGCTTTGCGCATATGGGGCAGGACATCCTCATACACAACACCATTGCGCTTCACCAAGTTCCTCAGTGATGGGGACAGCAAAGCTTATACCGCTGTCGCTGAGGCCAAGGTATATGGTGAAGCTGTTGTGGACAAGGAGGAGTGCACAAACCATGTGGCCAAGCGTCTAGGCACTGCACTTCGGAAACTGCCAACAAGACTTCCACGAGGGGAAAAGCTGACAGATGGCACAATTCAGAAGCTGCAGAACTATTACCGTATTGCAATCACAAACAACAGAGGTGATATTCTGAAAATGCATCGTGCCATCTGGGCCTCATATTTCCATTCATCATCGAGCAACACAGCAGGCAGCCACCGATACTGTCCAGAAGGGGCGACTTCCTGGTGCAAGCATAGGCGAGCTGAAGCGCTTGGGGAGGCCCCACCCGACCACACACCAATCTTGACCAAGGCTCAAGGATTGGCTGTGCTTCCCATTTACAAGCGGCTCACAGATGAAAAGTTGCTGGTGCGTTGTATCCAAGGGAAGACCCAAAACGCTGCAGAATCTTTGAACAGCAAAATCTGGTTGTTGTGTCCGAAGACTAAGTTTGCCTCCCGGACAACAGTGGAAACTGCAGCTGCTATGGCCGTGTTGTGGTTCAATAAAGGACATTCAAGCTTTGAACACGTGCTAGAGGAGCTTGGTGTAGTCCCACCAGATCAACTGATCACCCTGGGCCAATCCCGCGACCAGAGGAGAATCGAAAGAATGTCTGCGTGTGAAACAGCCGAGGCAAGGGCCCATCGGCGGAACGTGGCAAAGAAAGCGCGCCTTGATGACTCCCTTCTCAAGCGGCGAGAAGGATCCACATATGGAGCAGGACAATTTTAGGTGCTCTAGCTGTGTCCCTTCTATGATATCACCAAGTTTTGTGCAAATCGCACTGTGTAATCATGAGTAAACATATTTACAACTTTCAAATGCATTTTTCTCGATTTCCATTTTGAGGTAATTCTCTCATCTTGTGCACAATCTTTTTTAGGCATAAAATAGTCCTATCTTGATGAAATTTTGCACAGAGCTTAATCAGCCACTCTAGAATACAAGTATCTACTTTAGGTTGCATTATACATCACAGATTTTTTGTTACACAACTTGATACACTGATAGAGAGATGTAAAATATGCATTTAGTACTTTTAATTTTTTTTTTAATGTAGCAAATAAATTTTCTGTTTGAGGTACTTTTCTGTATTGTACTGCTCAAGTGCAGCAGAATGAGCCATTTTGCAATTCTGTGTGAAAATTTTTAGTAAGCTTTATTATGTGCACAAAAAACACTATATTTTGATATCAAAGTTGTAGTAACTCCGGAACTACTATAGCTATCAAACAAATAATTGCAGTTATGAAATCAGCACTGCAAGCTTTACTAACACCTAAAATTTCAAGGAGCTGGGTTATGAAATAAAAAAAAACCTTTTTCGAGTAGCATCTCCCCTTAAATGCAAAGTTTTAATAGGTCACTTGAACATCACTAGAAATTGTGGCTCTTCTCTTATGATCAGGTTTATGGACGTGGGTTTCCTGGAAACTATGCCACAAGCTTCTCTAGTGTGCCTGGAACTGCTCGCCCACCCTATACTTACTCCGATAGTAGGTATGTACAGATCTTATTTTTCTAGTTAAGATAGTAATTTATAGCTTACTTATTTTTGAAAATGTAGGGTTCGAGGCGTGAGAAATGCACCTGATGAGGATGGCTACCAGCGGCCTGCTATCATCAGTGAAAAAGACCTCAAAGGATTTGATGAAATTCTTCAGAATGACTCCCAAGATGGCTGGGCAGCTGCCAAGGGGGACATTGACTATAAGTAAGTCTTGAATTCTGCATTGGGCAAAAACAACTTTGTTTTCCTTTTTTTTGTTAGACTAACAGAATTTTCAGTGCATGTAGTTGGGCAAAGGGCTTAAGGATGGGTCTTGCAGATTAGTTGACTGCAGTCTCCACATCTTTACCAAATTCTTATTTATCTGTTTTGAAATCGTCTTCAGGCGAGCTGGGTCTTGCACATTAGTTGACTGCAGTCTCCATGTTTCTCAGCATAGGCTCATTTATAATGCATTGAGAAACACCCTGAAAATGAGTTTTCTTATTGCCATATTCATGAACCGACCTTAACTTATCATGGTAAGGCTGTTTGCAAAAGGACGAGAACAGTATAAGAAAACTGCAAGGCGAGCTTAGGAAACCTCCCTTATCTGGTCATAAGGGCGCCTAATGAAAGGAGTCTTTAATGGGGCTCTGAAACACTTTTTTGAGTTACCATGAAATTAATTCACTGGAAGAGCTTATTTCCTCAAAAAATTTAACGCCGCAAACATTTAAAAACCCGTTCAGTATGAGCGGCGTTACAAAGATTTGTCACATGCTGCAATCGCATTCTCTCTTCTATCGTCCTGATGAAAGTGCTGGAAGCTAAGCAGGGAGGGATGGCAGGGGCAAACAAAATGCGTCACGTGTGCCTCGTGACCTAAACTTTTTTTTTTTTTAATACAGTCAGTCCCCGGTATATCGAACTCTGATATATCGAATCATTGGCTATATTGAACAGCCGAAAAATCCCCTTGAAAAACACATGTAAAAGTATAGGGCACAGGTTAGCGTATATCAAACACTAGTACGCTGACATATTCGATATATCGAACGGTGCGCCGCGCTGGAGCAGTGACACTGATCGCAATTCAGTCTCGTTCCAAGAGAGTTGCGAACCCTTTTCGTGCGCGCATAGAAAATGTGATAGCATTGCTTCAATAAGTTCACACAGCGCTTATTCAGTTGCGTTTCAAAAGAGTTACGGATCCTTATCCAATGCGTAGGCGTTCAGAATGTGATTGCGTTGCTTGAATAAGTTTGCCCAGTGCTTGGGAGGGCCCCTGTTTGTCCAAGGTGTGGTAAAGCGTGTTTTAATAAGCATGCCAACAGATTGAAGCACCAAATAAAACTTACACGATATCATATTTACTCGCATAATCCTCGCACTTCTTTTGGCGGAAAACCGATGTAAAGTTGGGGGTTGCGAGAATTATGCGAGGAAAACTTTCCACACAGACGTACAGCATGAAAAAAAAAAACATAGTGGCTGCAAATCGGGATTCTCACTCCAGTAACTAACAGCAAGCTTTGAGAAGTACTGATTAAAACTTCAACAATAAAAACACAGGTTCAACACAAGGCAAGATTTTTTGAGACAGAAAAAGTGCAGGCAAACAGTCGAGAATTAGAATACCATATGCGAAGCTTGTTCTTCGTTCGTTCGTCGCTCAACAGGAGCCCTCAAAAGGTAAGCGTAGGACGTCAGTATTGGGCTGACGGCTATATAACAGAAACGTCTGCAGTTTCCTTCTGAAAGAAATAAAGTTTACCATCAATCCCAGTTTTAGGCACACGGCAGGCCCAACGCTGCTTGGTGGCTTTCAGCTGTCGTCACCAGTAGCGAACACGAAACTCGACTAAGAAAAGCCTACCGGCGGCCCTGTTGCCGTTGTTTAGTGCATGATTTATCACTTTCAACTTGAAAGCAGCCGTGCAGCTTCAGTATCGCCCCATAACGTGACAAGATTACCGACATACAAAACACCCCGCAATGTGCACTTGCCACTTTGGCTTGGCTTGAATTGGATTGAGTGTGAGATAATATGCTTGATGCTTAAGAGATGGTGCACGCTATCATTATCAGGGGCTGGAACGAGCAGGCGACATTATTGCGGCAGTTGTCGGGGGCGCGATAATTACTTGAGGAAAAAAAAAAAGACATCGTATTTTTGTTGGGCGTTGAGGGGGTGCGAGAATTATCAGAGTGCGAGGATTACGCGAGTAAATACTGTAAGTATGCACCGGCGGCTGTGGCACAATGTGCATTCTTATTCCCGCACTCTGACATGCATTCTCCAAAAACAGTCTTTGAGATCTGTTTTTATCGGCGCCCCATGCAACAGTGGCTATTTCAGATCTTGAAGGCCGTGGTTCCATCAGGCGGTCGAGCTGCTTTGTCGGCACGGTCAACCACGAATGCGCGTTTCCGCTCCGTCGCTGCAGCAGACGACAACTCCGATAACTTATCTTTGGCTTTAGCTTGCTCCTCTTCCAAGTCAGATTGCTGCCGATAGATAGTATTTAGACGCACGCGACCGCTGCTCGAAGGCTCCGCGGCTGACGGACTTTGCACAGGCTCCGTGACAACTGATGCGGTAGCTAGGTCGTGGTAGCGTTGACGACTTCGCCATGGTCCGCGAAAAGTGTAGCGTCTCGGGGGTTTGCTGTATCACGGAGTGCTTCTAGAAATACGCGACTAGCGTCCTTCGCACCTTTTTCGCACCAAACTTGTGCCGCGTGCGGAATTTGTGCTCAGGATTTGACATCGTGAAACTTCTCTGCCGACACCGAGGCAAAATGGCGCGCATGGACGCGAGCCTCAATACCCGGAGCAGACAAAGCCAGGAGCCTCCACCAATAGGGAGGCAAGCTCAAGTCGTGCGCGAAATAGCGAATAGGACGGCGCTCTGATACTTTTTTCCGCTCATTTTACAAGCTGCCAATGTTTGAATTGGACACATTCTGGCCGGAATTTGAAGGCGAAAGACGGCTCTCTCAAATGAGACCAAGCGGGCCGCGCTGGCACACATGAAAGGGCAGGGGCGCGTCACGGAAAGTGTGCGATTTCGACGTCGATTTCAGCTCAGATTTAGCTAGAAAGTGCCGTATAAAGGGTCTTAGCGGCTAAAATAATATTTTAGGCATGAAATTCATGGTATAAGTGCACTAGTAGCTGTAGATTTCAAAAACGCAATAAAAAAGTTTTTCATGATTTTTCGGTCTCCACAACCCGTGTCCCCCCTTGAGTTCACCCCCTATTGTTTAAGGCCGCCCTAGAAAAAAAGTGCTTAAGTGATATTTAAGATATGCCAACATAGACTAATGACTATAGAAAGGTTTTGTTTTTAGACTGTTTGGGTAATTTACAGCAAAATGAACTATCCATTTTCAAAAGCAGTTGGAATTGTTGCAATTTTGATGAGTAAATAATTAAAAAGGCTTGCGCTCTAAATTTTGCTCCCATACTTGCATTCTACACACATACAGGTTTCCATTGCAAGAAGAATTATTGTTGTACCTGCCCTAGCTGCAGAGATATTGAGGCCTCAAAATTTGTCTTAAATTTACTTTTTTGAGAAAATGAACTACGTCTAATCTGAGCTTAACTATTTTTTAAAATAACAAGCTGTTATAATGAGATGATCTGACATGCAGGTTCTCTGTATTTGTACAGAATTGCGTGCGCCTGTGCCCAAGGTTGTTGCACCTGTATCGTAGATGTACAGTGGCTAAAACCTTCTAGCCACTATAGTGGATGGCTTGTCCCGTCGTCGGTGCTCTCTCTACACATGAACCTAGCCAAGTCATCGAAACCGTCACTGCACATATGCGCAGCTTTGCCGACTAGCAGTACACGTCATTTCTGAGTCAAATTCTAAATATAACAACCGTGTTGTTCTAAAATCTTAGTGACCCGAAAACTGCGTGCACGGTTTCATGAGCGCACAGAAAAAGTTGCTCAAGGTGCACAAACGAACATGGCATTTTTACGTCATGCGAAGGCGGTGCCACTTTAATGCGTACTACTAATGCAGGCCTATATGTATATTTTTATAGAGTAATATCTTTAACCATAAAGAAGTTGGCAATATTTCGATACTAACAGGAAAATTGTTGGCCGCGTACACTAGTCTATCGTCACATGACGGTGTCACATCGTATAATTGAAGTTTCTACCACCAGGTGGCACCACAAGCTATTTTCACGATTTTCAATGAAGAAATAAAATCATTTCTTGAGAAAAAGAAGGTTGGTTTGAGTCACTATGAGGGACAATGTTTCCATCTGTGCAATCATCTCATTTCATGTTCTGGGCAGTTGTCACTCCCTTTAACAAAACAAGTGACAACAGACGGTAATTAGGTAATCTGACTTTGAAGGTCCGGGTTGTCGTTTATCCATACATTTTGTTTATCGATGGATGCATTTATTTTTCGTGATCTTACATGTTGAATTCTGGTTACACAAATTGAATTACTTTGGGATCACCGTATTGTTGATATATAGAGGTTTGGCTGTATGTATGTACTGTATTTACTCGCATAATTTGTGCACTTTTTTCTCAAATTCGGGGCTCCTAAAAGGGGGTGTGTAAATTGCACGGGGATTTTGTGAATGCATGCGAAATAATGTGTTATAGCCCTAACACATGCAGTAAAGGCATAAAAAAAAGTGAGAAATAAACTGGAGCACAAATGAAGTCCATTTGTTTTGTTTAACAGAATACACCTACTTTAACCAGTCGAATCCGGTCACGTGCAGCGTGGTCAGAATTGCTGATCGAGAGGTCTGATAGGGATTAACGGCGGGGCCGCTGTCATCGCCCTCCCAACATGCATCGTCCTCATTTCTGTAGGGCGCGTTGGAATGCCCCATTGTTATTGAAGTTCTTCCTAACAATGCTGGGGGAAAATATGTCCCACTACACGGTGATACCAGGAAACCTAAGTGTTCGCCGTGCTTCTTAAGAGCTTCTTCAAGAGCAAGAAACTTCTAATAGCAAAGGCGCACTCTTCTGCTTTCTCCCATACCGACGGTGCCAATCTTCACATGTTTGAGAACTGCGATGGCACGATTCCAGTTTTTGGCAAGCTTTATAACATTGATGCATCAAACCAACATTCGCAGTGTAAAAGAAAGTAAAGGAAAATATACTGTAACAGCACTTACCCCTGTATTTATGATAGGATGTCCCTTCACTCAGCACTCTACCGTGATTTGAGAAAGTCTATGGGAGCAGTCTCTAGGCAGAAAAAGTCAATTTGGAGCAATTTCTAGTAAGTGCTGCATCATTTTTGCTTGAGCAGTGGCGCTGTGCCAAACTCGGTCAAGTGAAGGACAGAATTCAAATCGTGGATTGTTTGTGAATACGGGGGGTTGAACAACTTGACAAGTCTGAACTTGTGTGTGAACGTGTCAAGATTGAAGAACGATGCAAAAATGTGCACCAACCTACCAGGTGCGTCATGCGGGTGGTCATGTCATGTCTAGTTCAAGGCTTAACGTGATTAGAGTTCATGCATGGCCTCCGAGATGTCCATTCATAAGCGGATCTCTTGGGGCAGCATTGGACTTTCTCATTTTTGTTGAGAGTTGTGAAAGCTGCATGGTGTCAAAATGATGTGGAAGTAAGACTGGAAACGGGCTGCGCTGAACAAAAGCTAAATCTTATTCTGTTTCTTTCCTGCAGTGCTAAACTGGTGTTCAGTGATGAGGAGGATGCTGGGGGCAGCAGTCGAAGCGCAGCTCCCAAAGGGTCTGATGTTGTTCAAGTGTCTGAAAGTGGCAAGCCTGTGGCCATGAAGGGTTCTGAGAAGGGCGAGTGCAGGCCTCCAGTACCAGCAGGACCTAAGCTTCCCCCAAGCCGCAGTCGGGAGCCTGGCTGGGATGCCTCATCTGGGCAGCAGTCTGCCCAGCAGCGCACTGGCCGAGAGCCACCTCCTACACAGACCTCTGCTTATATGGACAGAGAGGAACGTGGGCGCAAGACGTGGGGTGCCCCAGGGAGTGCTGAGCTGCAGCCTCAGCCCCCGGCGCTGTCGCAGCAGTCTCAGCAGGCCCCATCGGCACAGACAGCCCCTGTGCGCCAGTGGCCGCAATCTCCACAAGGGGCACCGCCTCCTGCAGTAGCCCCAGTAGCTGCAGCACCCCGTGCAACAGGTGCCCCACCCTTGGACTATCTAGCCAGGGGAACCCCTCCTCCTGCTACTACACCCCCTGCCCTGGCAGCTGCTGGCTTCACCTCAGGGCGTGTGGGGCCTCCTATGCCCCCCCAGGTGTGTGTTGGGCTTTTTTTCTGGGTAGAGCAGACTCCATAAGCAGAACTGCTAGGGACCTAAGAAATTATGTTCACTATGTTCACAGTAGAACCTCGTTGATAATTTCCCGAAAAACTTGAGCTATAAATGTGCCGCCCAAGAAAGCGTACAATCTGAATACATTTAAGGGGGGACGTGGCCCTTGCCAACCGAAAAATCGCAAAAAAGTCTGTTCTTCAAAACCATATTGTTGGGTTTTATTTCACGTAAACTACCTATTCTGTAAATATCTGCGCCTAATTCAACCCGAAAGTGCAAAAAAAAAAATTGCTATTTTCGAGGCCGCCGCAGGGCCCAAAACACGATCAAAAGCCAAAATTAAACCAAACGTTGGCGCGCGCGCCATTCTGCTACCATGTGGCCGTCCTGTGCCATCTTCGTCTTGTTTTGACCGTGAATTCTTTCTCTCTCGTTTGCCGCCTTTCGAAATGGCGTCAACGGCACGTTTGACATGCTATCGGCGTTTCCCCAAGATGCGATGCGTAGCACTGATTGACTAGAGTAGCTCATTCATATCTTGTGGGCGAAAGCGCAACTGCCATTGGCTGCTGCGCTGGCAGCGGGGGCAGTCCCTCCCGGCAATGGCACGTCCGGCGCGCTCGTCTCGCTGTTGCTGTCTGCTCCGTCCGCTTTGACAGTCTGCTTACGAGCCGCTTTTTGCCTTGCACTGTATTTTTGATCGGTTTCTCTTTTTTCTTTCTTTTTTCTGCCCAAGTTTTGTGCTCCTTATTTTCGTTGCTGTGTGTGATGCCGGCAACGAAGCTGAAGACGGTGCAGTAGTTCGAAAGCGCGGAAACCTGTTATGCGGCTTCTACGAGAATCGATATTCCGCTTTTCTGCTGCAAGTAGTGCCCAGTGCGTAGATGCTTGCGGCGGCGAAACTGTCTCTCGGCTGCCACCAGTCCAGTTGGACACGCCGTGTGTACCTGGAGCCGCGACTGCATCGAGCGTGTCAGGTCGCTGGATCCAGCCTGTGTTCTGAATCAGTGCCGTCGAGCGTGACACCGAGTGTTGCTGAGATTGCCAGGACCCAGCACCTCGTCTGCATCGGGGCCATCAAGCGTGAATGGGTCGTCGGCGCTTTATCTGAGGACGCATTTTCTAAGTAAGAAATCGATGCAAATGCGAGAAGTTGAGACGCCGTTAGCATCTACGCCAGCGACAACAAAAAAAAAAAAAAATTGAACTGATGCAGCCGGCTTTTGGAAGATATGCCCAACGTCTGAAAAAAAAAAAAAAAAATCCAAACGGCAGTTAGAATTTTTTAGCTTGACGTGGTGCTGAGGAAAACGATTTTTAAGAACTGCTATCAAATTTGTGTGGAGTTGTTTTTTATTCTGTTCCTAGACTATTTGGCAGGGTGTAACAAGCTTTGGGAATTGGTGCTAACAATTATTAATAAACAAATAATTTTTGGTAAATGTCAACATGACTGGTTACATCAAATTCGCAAATTCGAAGTTGCGTAAAAATTTTTTGGAGGGGAAATGAAAAGAAAACGGCTGTTTAGTGCCCTAGGATATCTATCGAGGGATGACCACAAATAATTTTAGCCTTCTAGTACAGTCAAACCTCAATATATCGAACACGGATATATCGAATTATTGCCTATATCGAACGGTTCCTATATCACGCGGGAAATCGCATGCATTATTGATTTTTTATTTCGAACAAAGTTTGACATATAATGGATATATAGAACTCGGCCACCCCAAACCGCCCGCGCTCCATTGACAGGCGGCGAGCTTTCCCACAACTCTCGAAAGTAGCGGTAGAACGCCGGTCGTTTACGAATGCTGCACACATCGATGGCGCCGAGAGCGCCACTTTAACGTAGCGGCGTACGGGCGCCGCAGCCTTACGGTAGAGGTTCTTGAATGAGGAAAGTGAAGAGAAAGGTGCGGAGCTGTTATTTTCTTTCAATACGAAGGCACCGACACGGCTTCGCGCGGGGGAAGGGGGAGTGGGAGGTAAAGATTGAAGAGGAAAGTATAGGAGGGAAAGGACGCAGACGACTGTCTCGGACGCGGCCCGTGCTGCCGCCGGGAAAGCAAAATCGGTCAGGCGAGCCGGCATGGGCGCGCCATGTGCGCGCTTTACACCCGGATTCACGCCGCAGCCTTGCAGCTTGCAGTCGTTGCAGTCTCTATGGTGTCAACGGCACACTGCGCACTTGTTGCAAGCTCCTCCCCCGTAGCATCGGCAGGCATCTGTCGTTGTGCTCGCAGTGTTCGGAATTAGGCCTGTCGCGCACTGTTCGAAGTTGGGCTTGTCGCGCGCTGTGGTGAGCGACAGGCCTAACTCCGAAGGGCAGAGCTCACGGCGGAGCTCACGGATGTGGAGATTGTCGCCGAAGCTACTGCTGAGCAGCCAAATGAAGACTGCCGAGGTGGATTCCGCAAGCGCTGATGGTGCCCCGCTCCCGACATCAGCTGAGGTCGTAGCTGCCTTGGCCCTTGTGCGTCACCACCGCGGCGCGATTGAAGGCACCGGCCTATCACTTATGGATCGCCTGGACTATATTGAGGACGCAGTCGTCAAACACGCCATGGCCAACAAAAAGCAGGCTACTCTTTTTCAATATTTTAAACCAACAGAATAAATACTATGTTTGAATCTTCAAGTGAGTATTTACTGCACCACGCTTGAACGGTTTGTTGGTCGTTTTCAGCAAGCTGTTGACGCATGTTTTCGTGATTTTTTTATATTGAATTCTGGATATATCGAACTATTTCGCGATCGCCGCGCCGTTCGATATATCGAGGTTTGACTGTATGTCCTGGGATTTCTTCCGGCTCTTCCTCGGGCACATAAGTGAACCACTCAGACCCCAGTAACTCTAGAACCCCTGAACACAATTTCATGAAACTTTGCAGTTTTTCTAGTTATAATAAAGTGACTATACCCTGAAGGTTTCATCAAGATGTCTTTAAAAATAAAAAAGTTTAGTTTCCGGGGTAGCCTCCCCCTTAAAGGGGTTGTGAAACGTTTCATAAAGATTGTCAACTACATGTGTATTCAAAATCCTGGGCGTTCATTTCATACTGTAAATAAAACCTCTTTAATACGAAGTCACTGGGGCAGAGAGAAATCTTCAAATTACCGTATTTACTCTCGTAATTCTCACACTCGTAATGCTCGCACCACCCACATCGCCCAACAAAAATACAATTTCTCTCTTTCCTCGAGTAATCATTGCATCCCCGAAAATTGCCGCAATAATGTCGTCTGCTTGTTCCAGCCACCGATGATGATAGTGCATGCCATCTCCTAAGCATAGAGCGTTCTGTTATTGCACAGTGATTCAATCCAATCCAAGCCAAGCCAAAGTGGCAAGTGGTCGTTGCGAAGTGTTTTGTACGTTGTGTCTGTAATATTTTTACGTTATGAGGCAATACAGAAGCTACGCGGCTGCTTTCAAGTTGAAGTGATTGATCATGCACTAAACATCGGCAACAGGGCCGCCGGTAGGCCCTTCGGAGTCAACGAGTTTTATGTTCGCTGCTGGCGACGTCAGCTGAAAGCCACTAAGACGCGGGCCTTTCGTGTGCCTAATACTGGGATTGAAGGTAGACTTTTTCGTGAGAAGGCAACTGCGGGCGATTCTGTTGAATAGCCATCAGCCCAATACTGACGTTTGTGGGGTCTTGGCGTGGCGAACGAGCGCATCGCCACGCCACGCTCTTGGAGTGAACGGACACAGCAGACGCGGTCGGTACAAAGCACACAACATATATGCATACGTTTATTAAATAATTTAAACGACGATGTCGAAAATGGTCATCGAACTGACTTTGCGACCCAATAACTCGACAAATACGCATTACAGGGCTATAATATTTTAGGAACAGCTTCCTTAGACTTTAATGATTATAAAAAAAAATACTTAAAAAAAAATCGGTTTTTCGGAAAATTTTCGCCCTCCCATACCCGTGTCTCCCCTTAAGTTCTTTTTTTTTTAGAGATCATCATGGCTGCCGACACACATTGTCAGAAACAGTGGCACGGACAAATCATCGCCTAGAAAAAAAAAACAGGGCCATAAAACAGAAATTGAAGATTGCTGTACCCACAAGCGGTGTTCAGGGATTCAGGGAAAAAAAAAAAGAATCAAAATCAGTCCAGTCATTCCCGTGCTACTCTTTCCACAAGCAATGCACTTCAAAACACATCATTTAACCATATGGTGTAGTAGCGCAAATTCACAAGGACGAAGAGGACAAGAAAACACGACACTCGCTACACTCGCAACTAATTTTTATTTCAGAAGCAGCACTTCATATATAACCCATAACCCTAGCGACACAGAAAAGAACTACAAACACTGAATCATTGCCAACAGAAGCTTTTGCGCAGACTCAAGCGAAAGTACACGGCAGTTAAGCTTGGACACTTTTTGATGACATGACTAAAAACAGCCCTGGGTAACATCAAATCAAAAAAACCAAAAACCAAAAAAATTTTTTTGCGGGAATTCACATGTGTTTGAAACAAAATTTTTGAAACGACAAAAAGGAGCATTCTCCTTTTTGTCGTTTCAAAAATTTTGTTTCTCTAGTTAGTTGGTTTCCATGACGGAAGACTACGGTTGTGTCACTGTACAGTGGTGAGCAGCCACACTGGGAACAGTGCCTCTTTATGTGAGAATGAATGTCAGTTCCGTATGTAGTCTTCCGAATGTAGTCTTCCGTCATGGAAACCAACTAACTAGAGAAATTGTCGAGCCCCGCCGCGGTGGTCTAGTAGCTAAGGTACTCGGCTGCTGACCCGCAGGGCGCGGGTTCGAATCCCGGCTGCGGCGGCTGCATTTCCGATGGAGGCGGAAATGTTGTAGGCCCGTGTGCTCAGATTTGGGTGCACGTTAAAGAATCCCAGGTGGTCTAAATTTCCGGAGCCCTCCACTACGGCGTCTCTCATAATCATATAGTGGTTTTGGGACGTTAAATCCCACATATCAATCAAATCAATCAATCAGAGAAATAGTCGAAGCCTTTCACATTAAAAAAAAAAGAAAAGAAGGATGCATTAGTCAGTCATCGGTTTCGTTAAGTAATCGAGAAGCCAGCTACCTCGAAGGACTTAATTGAGATCAGTGTTTGCATGTGTCATACTCTCCTTTTTGTCGTTTCAAAAATTTTGTTTCAAACACGTGTGAATTCCCGCAAAAAATTTTTTTTGGTTTTTGGTTTTTTTTTATTTGATGTTACCCAGGGCTGTTTTTAGTCATGTCATCAAAAAGTGTCTAAGCTTAACTGCCGTGTACTTTCGCTTGAGTCTGCGCAAAAGCTTCTCTTGGCAATGATTCAGTGTTTGTAGTTCTTTTATGTGTCGCTAGGGTTATGGGTTATATATGAAGTGCTGCTTCTGAAATAAAAATTAGTTGCGAGTGTAGCGAGTGTCGTGTTTTCTTGTCCTCTTCGTCCCCGTGAATTTGCGCTACTACACCATATGGTTAAATGATGTCTCACCAACTATCCCAGCTCTCAACCCTACTGTCCAAAACACACTTGTGAGAAAAAGCCTGTCGAAGTTTTCGACAGGCTTTTTTCGATGAATTTTTTTGTTTCTCGTTGGATATTGAAAATTGGCACAGACACTAAGAATGACCTTGTGAAGGAGTGGTGCGATAGGTATGACAGAAAAGATTGTAATTGAATAAAACCATATACAGAAATCGTTACACATATTTTTGTGGTGAAGCTGTAATTAGCGTAATTAAGTACTTGATTACAAATATTCACTGAACTATTCTTTATTTGGAGATAGGTTTATTGCATAAGAAAAATGGATGACACCTTGACGGCCTATGCCTTCTTTCTAAACAACAAAGTTATGGGCAGAAGACTGGTGGCACGGGAATGTCTAGCAGTATAATTAATGACACGAAACGGGCATATAAAAATTCGTGCCCCTGATTCATACATGCTCTTTCGCCGCTCTAGCCGTGAAACGCATCAACATACAGCCGGTCGCGGGAACTCTAATCTACAGCAATTCATTAACCTCGGAACAGTCATAGACGTTCGTGGCGATATCAAGCACGGCTCCAGGCACGTCTGAACCGCATCACAAAAGCTTATTGACAGCACTCCATATTGACCGTGGGGTGCGCGGACGCGTGGACAGTGCAGCCGGCGCGTAATGCACTTGCCGGCGGCGTTCGATGACGATGCGCGAAGTGTGTAACTACGAAGACAAAAAATCGGCACGCACTGCACTTGGCATCGCATTTTCGAAAGACGACGTGCGAAACTGCTAGCCGCTGTTCCGAGCGATTCTTGGCAGTGAAGGGGGGGGGGGGGGGGGGCGACGAGCTTGACTGTGTTGTCCGCTGCCGATGCGTAAAATGCCCGTACGTGATTCAGAGGAGCTAGCGAGTGATGTGGTACATTAGTTGCGAAGAAGCACGTCGCCAAGAGTGCGCTTAAGCGTCGTTCCTGCCCGCAGTCTCGCTGTCAGCGGAGTTAGGCCTAAAGCAGACTCCGATGATGCGCCGCACTCGTAGACCGCCGGGCGCCCGCTCATAGTAATCTGATCGTGCATCCGGTGCGGCCACTCGTAGTAATCAGATCGTGCCGCCGCTTACAGCTTCGTTGCTTGCGAAGAAGCACGTCGCCACGAATGCGCTAGCGCATCGCTCCTGCCCGCAGTCTCGCTGTCGGCGGATTTAGGGCTAAAAACGACTCCGATGACGCGTGCCGCTCGTAGTAACCTGATGGCGCATCCGCTTATTGCTCGTAACTAAAGCATAGTTATATCTTAAGTGATTATCAAGCCGTGAACACGTCGCGAAGTGGCGATTTTCGAGAGCCATGTCCTCGCGACGCACAAGCAGCAGACGACGATCTCCCGGAGCGAGCCTCGGGCCAATGGCGAGGCGAGCTGAGGCAACATGGCGGCCACGGCCAATCAAGGGCCTCAAAACGACCTTCAAACATTTGCTTTTTGCTCGCTTGTTGTTAAAGGGAGGAGCCAGCTGAGGCGGGAAAGTTAAACACGGAGAAATGCTCTTTCCGATGAGCCGAAGAAGCCGGCTCCCGGCACAAGCATCGCGAAGCTATAATTTTTTGAAAATCGCCGTTTTCTCGCCATTTCCAGAAAGTTTTGCTACCTAGCTGGGTGAACCGAATTTTTCGAAGCACTTCTGCGTGGTTTTCAGTGTAGATATTTTGGAACCAGATAGAAAGAGGGTTCCAGAAACTGAAAACTTGAGTTTCAAAAAATCGATTTTTTTTGCCATTTTTCGCGATCCCAAAGCCGCGTCCCCCCTTAAGGCGAGTCCTGGCTGGCTGAGGCGTTTCAAAGCTTGCCACGACATCGTTACTAAAGTCATCTCCGGGGAGGCAGTAGCCGTTGACTCGGTGACAACGTCGTTGTGGCTTCTGAGCAACAAAGAACTGCTCGGCCAGTACAAGCCCTCGGATATATATAATGCCGATGAAACGGCATTGTTTTACGAAATGCTGCCATCCAAGACCTTGGACTTTGAAGGCCAGAAGTGCCACGGTGGCGAGCACAGCAAGCGGCGCGTGACGATTTTATTGTGCGCCAACACAAATGGCACTGATAAACGGGCACTGCTCATTATTGGCAGGAGCAAGAAGCCCTGCTTATTCAAGGGGAATCGCAAGCTGCCAGTAAGTTACACCGTGGACTTGAAGTCGTGGATGACGCGGGCTATTTTTAGCAGCCGGCTCCAGTTTTTCGATTCCGACATGCGGAAGGCAAACAGGTCGGTCTGCTTTCTTCTCGCCAACTGTAGCGTCCATCACATCGACATGCAGCTCGAAAACTTGCGCCTGGTGTTTTTTCCACCAAACTGCACTTCGGTGCTGCAGCCTCAAGATCAGGGAGTTATTCGCAGCGTGAAGTGTGCTTACAGAGAGAGGCTGATTCAGCGTTTGCTGCTGAATATACTTATGAAGTGCCCCCCTGACGTGGACCTGTTCAGGGCGCTAGAGATAATCGCCGCCGCGTGGATTGCGAGGAGTCCAGCCGTGATAACGAATTGCTTCACACACGCCGGTTTCGTCACTCCGCAGGCATCATGCACTGATCCAGCGGAACCGCAAGAAGGTTCGCCTGTAGGCGCACTTGACGGTACTGGTAACAGCGCAGTGCCGCTGTCACTGACCAGTGCATGGGGCGAACTTTGTGCCGTGGCAAACGAGATTCCCGATGGCCTTCAGCGTCCATGAGTTCGTTTGCGTGGATGAAGGCGTCGTCGTGCATGAAGAAGTGACTGAGTAGCGTGCGCGAGGCAGCCGATCTCGATGAGCAGCGACCGGAGCAGCTGGAGAAAAGAAGTCCTCAGGATGTGCTGAATGCCTTCGACACTATTCGCACGTTTTTCGGCAAGCACGACGACGGCGTGGCGATGGGCTATTTCTTACAGTGCGAGTCGAGAGGCATGAAATTGCTCCATGGAAAGGCCCGCCAAAGTAAACATGCAGGTTTTTGGAAATGAAATGTTTTTCTTTTGTAAATTTCATGTCTTTTCTGCCGCATTCTCGCGCCAACGAAATTCCCACAAGAGCGAAATTTCGTGCTTTACCTGCTGATTTTGTTATTGCCGAAACTAAGTCCAAAAACCCAGCTCCCGGTTGTGGTTGTGCCATTGTTAAGCAACTTTTTTCCAAATCCTGTTTTTTCACCACCTACGTGGGTGCAATCAATATTTCAATGCTTTTCTGCACGGTTTTTAGTGTAGACATTCTGGTATTAGGATAGGAAGTGTTCCAGAAGCTGAAAATTCGACTTTCATAAAATTGATTTCTTTGTCATGTTTTGCAATTATCTCTCATTAAAGGGATACTGAACAAAAAATGGAAAAAAATGACGAAACTGAAATTCTGATACGTCTGTTTTGATAAACAAGTAATTTCCTGTAATTTTGATTGATTGTCAGCGTGCGGCTGCTGCACAAAAGCGCGAGCTGTTGCGTTGCAATCGTTGAGGTGCATGCAGGGGCAAGTGTTGCTGTCCTCCTTTTCCTTTTGTCCTTTCCTTCAACACTCGCTCTTCTACAAAAGTGCTGATGATTACCCCAGCCAGGGAGCATTGTTTGTTACTAGCGCTGTTCATTGCGCTTCTGGTAACCGTAGGGGGAGCCGAGCAGGTCAAGAGATATGGGCGACGGCTGGCAATGTTGGCTTGCCCATTTCGGGCGTTTGTGATGTCGCCAAACGTCGCCTCCTCTAGTTCACAAAACGGCCTCTAGACGCCGTGGTTCTTTAAAAACGCATTAAATTCATTATGTTCCTGTAGTTCCTGCCTGGAATGAAGGTTGTCTCTGTTGATTTGAGGACCGAATCTTTGAAAGGGCTGAACATTTTTGGAGCAAACGTTTTGTTTAGTTCCCCTGTCAGGGGAGACGTGGCTTTTGTATCACGAAAGATGGCAAAAAAGTTTTAGTTTTCTTTAAATCAAGTTTTCAGTTTCTGGAACCCTTTTTCTACCATGTACCAAAATACATAAACAGAAAAGCACACAAAAGTGCTTAGAAAAATATGTTGTGCCCTCCTAGGTAGGAAAAATCGTGGAAATCTTAACCCCGGCAATTTTCTAAAAATTATAGCTGCGCGATGGCATGACGGGGAGCAGAGTTCTTGAGCAATTTGAAAAGAGTGTTTCTCCATTAATGTATTTTTTAATACTATGCATTAAAAAGTACAATTTTCGCTTGCTTGCCAGTTCATGTTTTCAGCTATTCATAGTCAGTGTCATAGCCTTTTTCTTCTGGGGCCCAAATCTCTGAACTCAAAACGAGCACTCATGCTGAAGTTTTTGATGTTACCTTTGCAGTGCTTTGTATATGATGGCAAGCTTGAAAGTATTGGGATGGGTACACTGAAAAATGCAACATGATTTGCTTGTGTGCAGCAATCGTCACACCATTCTGGATTTGGTGGTGGTCCGGTGGCACCATCTCGAGGTAGTAGTCGCCAAGGCCTTGACCAGCTGACTGGTGATGAGGAGGAACTGTGGCGGCAGCGACGACAGCAGCATAATGATGAGATGGCGGTGACTGTGGAGCGTACCAGACAGCGTAGAGAAGAGGAGGAGAAGCGTTACGAGCAGATCAAGCAGTCCTCCGCCGCCACGGCTGCTGCCGCCAACGCTGCCGGCCAGCAACAGCAGCAGCCGCAGCAGCAGCAGCCCAGTGTGCCTGATGAGTCCACATCTGTGCCTGCTGAAAAAGAAGACCTGGATCAGCGCTCGTGTCATTCAAGCGAGAGTCGGGAGGAGGTCCGAGGAGGCACACTGCTGCCTAGTCGGGAGAGGCCAGATTTTAGGCAGCAGCCATTGGGTGGCTATCAGGTTTGTGTGAAGACCTTTCGCGCATATTTCTTCTTGCCAGCAGTATATGATGGTTGCTAATGCATTTCTGGCTGCGCAGTAATATACAATGGATACTCGAGCTTCTTGCATCACACACTCGACTTTGCTATAAAGACACAATGTATAGGGAAAAACAGTTGTACCCATGTATAACAGCACTCAAGTGCCACAAAAATTTTATTGTTATAAACGATTATTTTCATAAAAGGGTTCAAAAATAGGGGATTGCAGGTTATGAAAAATTCACTGTATTTACTTGCATAATTTGCACACCCCTAATATTTAGCCAGCTTAACTAAAGAAAATGCAGTCGAACCCCTTTATAAGAGACACTGGTATATCAGATAAATGGTTATAAGAAACATCTATGGGCCTGCAGTTGAAGTACGGTTTGAGAAAAAAATGCATATGTAGTACCCTGCTTATAAGAGACAAGAATTGCTGCCCAGAGCATGCCTCTTACAAAGGGGTTCAGTTTTATTTACTCGGATATTTTGTGCTCCCCGATTTGCTGCGCGCATGGGGAGAGTTGGGAACTTTGGATGCTTAGTACGGACGTGTGCCTCGCTGAGCAGGAAAGTGCAGTCATGCATAAAACGCCAACACAACTCCACCTACCGCCTGGTGGTTGAAACCTGAAATGCGCGTTTTGGGCGAGACACTTGCTCCACACAGTGCAAACAACTTCACAGGAGAGTGTCAGTATCTCCACATCCTTCCAACTTTAACATACCTGCCATCCCGGATTTTGAACTTTTCTCCCGGTTGTATGGCTCATAAGAAAATCTCCCGGGAAACCAGTTTTGCCCCGCGCGTCCAATGCATTTTCTGGCCACGTAGCAAAAAGGATTCTTTTTTTTAATGATGGTAGCAAAATTCAATGTACATTTTCGACGTGCAAAAGATGGCACCAGAACGTTCCGCCTGCCGAGTAGGAGCAGTGAAATCGCGCATGGCTGCACAGTTTTGAAAGGTCACGCACACTAACGGAAAAAAAGAGAGAGAAAATTCTATTGTAGTACAGCGAGGGCAGTGATACCTTGAGACGGCTGATGCTTTTGCTAGCTGTTGAATGCGCCAGCATTCCAGGAAGAGATGGTGGTCAGACTGCTCGCAGTTCTGTGCCACTTCACTCCTTTCGGTTCGTTCGCTGTTTAACTGACGGAGGTCGTTCCTGTGCTGCCGCATCTTTTCGTCGAAATCTCTGGTTTCCCGATGCAGGAAGTGGGCAGCCGACCATTCACGGAGCCGTGAAACGGGAGCCGTAAGGGCACCGGTTTTTGTGCCAGGCAGACAACTGCCGAATGCTAATGCTTACGTTTGGTATTACACGCTAGAGGAGATTGTGGCGTACAAGAGAGACCCCACCTCCTAATCATTTCGCGCTAGTGTTTTCCGAGAATGCCGACTAGGACGTAGTTCAAGTGCAAAATACACGCCGGCTGTGTATTTTGCATTGCTGGTGCCGCAGCCCAAAGAAAAAAAAGAGTAAGGAGGGACCCAGCCTTTCCACAGGAGAGCTTAAAAACCCTCTGTGGCTGTTCCATTGTACGGACGCACCCAGGTACTTTGTTATGTGAGTGGCCGTGGTGCTGCTGTTGTTAAGCTTTGGGGTGGGGGGGAGCACATAGTCCAACGGCTAGTCTCCCCCCCCCCCCCCCCTGTACCCGAAGGGGAACTGCGCATGCTTATGTCCACACCTCACCACACACTTTCTCTACTTTTCTTTCTTCATTCACTTTCCCCTCTCCCTTAAGGGGAGATGCTACTCGAAAAAGGTTTTTTTTTATTTCATAACCCAGCTCCTTGAAATTTTAGGTGTTAGTAAAGCTTGCAGTGCTGATTTCATAACTGCAATTATTTGTTTGATAGCTATAGTAGTTCCGGAGTTACTACAACTTTGATATCAAAATATAGTGTTTTTTGTGCACATAATAAAGCTTACTAAAAATTTTCACACAGAATTGCAAAATGGCTCATTCTGCTGCACTTGAGCAGTACAATACAGAAAGTACCTCAAACAGAAAATTTATTTGCTACATTAAAAAAAAAAATTAAAAGTACTAAATGCATATTTTACATCTCTCTATCAGTGTATCAAGTTGTGTAACAAAAAATCTGTGATGTATAATGCAACCTAAAGTAGATACTTGTATTCTAGAGTGGCTGATTAAGCTCTGTGCAAAATTTCATCAAGATAGGACTATTTTATGCCTAAAAAAGATTGTGCACAAGATGAGAGAATTACCTCAAAATGGAAATCGAGAAAAATGCATTTGAAAGTTGTAAATATGTTTACTCATGATTACACAGTGCGATTTGCACAAAACTTGGTGATATCATAGAAGGGACACAGCTAGAGCACCTAAAATTGTCCTGCTCCATATGTGGATCCTTCTCGCCGCTTGAGAAGGGAGTCATCAAGGCGCGCTTTCTTTGCCACGTTCCGCCGATGGGCCCTTGCCTCGGCTGTTTCACACGCAGACATTCTTTCGATTCTCCTCTGGTCGCGGGATTGGCCCAGGGTGATCAGTTGATCTGGTGGGACTACACCAAGCTCCTCTAGCACGTGTTCAAAGCTTGAATGTCCTTTATTGAACCACAACACGGCCATAGCAGCTGCAGTTTCCACTGTTGTCCGGGAGGCAAACTTAGTCTTCGGACACAACAACCAGATTTTGCTGTTCAGATTCTGCAGCGTTTTGGGTCTTCCCTTGGATACAACGCACCAGCAACTTTTCATCTGTGAGCCGCTTGTAAATGGGAAGCACAGCCAATCCTTGAGCCTTGGTCAAGATTGGTGTGTGGTCGGGTGGGGCCTCCCCAAGCGCTTCAGCTCGCCTATGCTTGCACCAGGAAGTCGCCCCTTCTGGACAGTATCGGTGGCTGCCTGCTGTGTTGCTCGATGATGAATGGAAATATGAGGCCCAGATGGCACGATGCATTTTCAGAATATCACCTCTGTTGTTTGTGATTGCAATACGGTAATAGTTCTGCAGCTTCTGAATTGTGCCATCTGTCAGCTTTTCCCCTCGTGGAAGTCTTGTTGGCAGTTTCCGAAGTGCAGTGCCTAGACGCTTGGCCACATGGTTTGTGCACTCCTCCTTGTCCACAACAGCTTCACCATATACCTTGGCCTCAGCGACAGCGGTATAAGCTTTGCTGTCCCCATCACTGAGGAACTTGGTGAAGCGCAATGGTGTTGTGTATGAGGATGTCCTGCCCCATATGCGCAAAGCTGCCTCAGTCTCCATGGCATGAGAGGAGCACTCTGTATTTTTTTCGCAGACAGGTGTGTGGAATGCTTGCCATATTTCTTCCTCATCACCCGAGTCCTGGTGCCGGCTACAGGCAAGGCAGTAATTCGATAGCACTTCAAAATCTAGGCACAAACCAGTGTCCACAGACACAGCAGTGCCGATGCCATTGTGGCTCTTGTGCCCTCTTTTTTGCCATGTGCCATCATACATGACAGCAACATCAGCCCCATCCACTTTCTCTTTAGTTATCATCCGCGCTTTCGCCAGGTTTTCTTGCACAGCTTTGGTAGCTGCAGCATGAACTTTTTTGCCAATTGCAATAAAAGTCTTATGATGCATAGGTATTGGCAGTCCAAGAATAGCGCAAAAACGCGACAGCTGTTCATGCCCAATGCCTATTGCACGCGCAGCCACAACTACCTTCACATTGACAGCGAAGCTGTCACGCGAGCTGCCGCTTCGGTAGCTCCAGTCATCACCGGCATCGGTGGGCTGTCTTTCCGGCAGAACACGCCACGAACTATGCGCGGCAGAAACCACTGACTCAGGACACTCACTGTTATCACAGTGCAGCTCGAGGAACGAAGAGAGGCCCTTACGTTTACTTGCGGTGTCGCGAACGACGAGTCCAGCGGTGTGGCATGTTGGACAAACAGCACGGCTTACCATCGATGTCAGTGCGCCGATGTCACAAAATACTCCGCTCACAGAGCCACAAACACTCTTCGTTTTTTCGCTTTCGAACTGTTCAATCTTTTTTTCTGATGCGCTGATGAACTTGATCGCGGCGTCGATTTCGTCAAAGTTCCCGCAAGCCGCCGTATCCCCGCTGCCTTGATTAGGCCTAGTGGCCCGCGGCTCGCATTCTTCTACCGCTGCTTTGCGCTTCGGTTTACGTCGACGCCCTTGGTACTTGTTCTTGCTTGCAAACTTTCGTGCTCGGAAGTCTCGCTTCTTCAAGTTATCCATGGTGAACTCGGAAAAACGTAGAAACGCACGGCAAGTGCCGATCGTCGCAAGCGCTCAGCGAGCGAGGCCGATCAGATGTAGCCAATGGCGGCCTCGGTAGCGTACCATGTGACCGGTAGAGATGCGCGAAGCGGCTGCAGCTTGGCTGCAAACCGACTTGGAAACGACTGTTTTGTGAAATTCCTCACTAAAATACGAAACTAGGGGGACGCCTGTACACTAGAAGGAGCCTTGATCTACACCACCGAACAAACCCCGATGGCGGACGTCATCGTGTTGCCGAGTGGCGGATTTTCAAAAATAGCCGTCGGATGCGTGAATTCGCGACTTCGGCAGCTACCTTCACTAGCGCAGATCGACTTTTTACCACTTTCTCGTTTGAATTCAGCTATGACCTTTGGGGAAATGATAGTTGAATGATCAAAAGTGATTTTAGAAGCAATATCTCAAAAGTGGAAATTTTCTCAAAAAACGCGATTTTTCGACCCGCATCTCCCCTTAAGAAGCTAAGCTGAACCATGCTTCTGCAAGGGTTGATAGAACCTAATGGCAGGGCTTTTTCTAAGCTGCTGGTCACGATTAAGGGGAGATGCGGGTTGGAAAACCGCGATTTTTTTCGTAAAAGTCAATGTTTTCCTCCAAGCCTTCTCCTTAATATATTAAAAAAATCAAAGCTGAGAATCAACTACAGGTTATCGAAAAATACAATTAAAGCACTTGCGGTGGCTCGTGAAAGTGCGAAATCGCCCG